GTACGCAGCCCTTAGGATGGTGATTGTGTGGAACTATGTCAGTAAATACAAACGCATCGGATCAGAACCTAAATTTTAGGTTTTTATCGACTTCGTTTTAAAAGTGGCCACGCCTGGCTCATCAATGTGCCACTGGTGCCAATGGGTAGTTATTGGCGGAAGGAGAGCTTTACGTTTAGGGGGGCCATAGGCAGGTTATAGGTATGGTAAAGGTGGTGCACGCCACCCTTAATTCACTGTATAAATCAAAGCTGCTCCACCTATGGCGTCCGCCTATAGCCACCATAAAAACATAGGTGCTCCACTCTTAATTTTTATTTGGGTTAATCCAGAGTGATCGATCAAACTTTAATTGATTTAACTTTCGGCCCAATGGACTTGATTCCTGCAATGCAGCGACTTAAGTGAAATTGATAACTTACATTGAATTTAGTTTTGCACTCCATTCATATACTGGAACAGTGTGGCTGAAATATGTATGAAAATTTCTCGTTCATAAAGTAAACTGAACCCTGACAAGGGAATAAAAATTGTAATAAATTACTGAATACTTATAAAATCCATCAAATTTCAATGATAAATTTTCGGAGACCATACTTACGGTGGAGTTTCTTTCCTTTTAAATTTGCAGTCATTTCATCTGCGCTCATAGACTGAAAAAATATGATAGGTAATATCAGCTTCATACATGCAATGATATGGCTATTCATTTATTTTTCATATTATACTAGTGTTTTGGCCATGAATATAACGTGTTATCTTTTTTACCCCCGCTTTTTACTCAATGAAAGGCACTTTTAGACATACACCAACAGTATCAGCATTTTCTGATCTTGGTTTCAGATCTTCCCGAAAAATGGTGAAAACCAACTTTTTTCTCGTATAGTGAATCTTTCACACATCGCCAGTTTGTTCGAAAATTATTTCAATGATTTATGAATGCAGTGTTCAAGCGGCCAGTGGCCCAAGTAAGTTGTTAGATTTACTAATGCCAAATTATGCCCTTGTTTATAAAAACAGGGCCTGAACTTCCCATTTCTTGTCGATTTTAATCTTTTGGAAAAATTTGTTGGAAAATCTTTAGTGCTCGTATTAATAAATAATTATGAGAGAAATTTTGAGTCACATTTCAGTGTAACAACACTAAGTGAAAAATTGTGAAAGTGAAATTCACTTTGTAAAATTAAGTGAAAGTAAAATACGTTTCATCATGTCAGCTATTGTATTTAAGAATCAACTTATGCTTCGCTTGATGTTATTACCGATGTTTAAACCTTTGAGGAAGGAGGTTTTTTGTTAGCATGAATTGCCATAAGGCAAATCGTTTCCATGTAAGGACCATTATAAGCTATCACTAACATAAACTACTGATTTCCTTGAACACAAACGAAAAAGTTATAAGTTTTAAAGTTATTCAGGGATAATAAATAAGATTAACTAGGTTGTGCATAGATATTTATTTAGAGTTCTACTAGTGCAAAAATTTCTGAATTAATGAAAAACTCACATCATTTCAACAGATGTTAATAAATTTCAAGATTCTAAAAAATGTTCAATTTAATTGCCGTTTCATAATTTATGGATGCAAAATGAATTTTCACTCGTTAATAAATTCACAATTTTTAACCTTGCCACAGTATATACTGTCAGTTCTTTCTAACCTTTGCTGCGATTTCAATTTGACAGTCAACTTAGCGTTCATCTCATGTCCGCCTCACCCTCCTTTTGGTTTATGCCTATCATCATAAAAATCCTTGAGAATGTGATAAATATTTCGCAAAGAGACCGTCTAATGATGAACAACCAACATTTCTAACTTCAACGCATGTAACAGTTGAAACATTAGCGTAAATTTTTCATCACTTCAAATGGTTGCCGAAAATTTTAATGCTGGTTAGTCAGATACTAAATCTGATGAGGCTGTAGTTGTTACCCAGTAATGCTGTAATATATATCACACATATCTATGACAATAGAGTAAATGCTACAATCACGCATAATAATGAAATGCTTAAATTAAAATAATACAATATAATTAATAACAAAGGACCCGCTATATGTTAGACATCTTGTCAATGTTAAATATTGAAAAAACTACTGAGGATAATTTGCAGGTGAGTGTATCATGTTCAGAGAACATAGAATGAAAATGTTCATTAATTAAAGCTGTCTAAATATTGAAGGATCGCCGATTTAGCGAAGTCAAATACAATTACGGGAACATTAAATTTTGTAGGTTCAAATTCAGGTAATGCCAGAGACTGAAGGGCTAGGTACCGACGATGCTTGTCAACTCACAACGGTGTAACATTAGTAATTGTTGTCTACAGGGTCTACGTCATGAACACCTAGTTAAGCGTACCATAAATAATTAAAAACTAACTAATACAATTAAATTTATAGGATCAATGTAACGACATAAATAAAAAACAGCAGATATTTCGTGCAGTCGTTCGAGTTGCAGAAGCTGGAGGTTGACTCTGTTGCTTCTTCCGGTGCAACAGCATTGAAATTTATTTGATTCGAGGCTGTAACTGCCATGTGGAGTAAACTCGTTGCTATTGCAGAATAAAATCTAACCCTAATATTTGTGATGGCAATAAAATATCTCACTAAATCTGAACATGTTTAAACAAAATTGATTGTGAGACCAGCGTCATTATTAAATACTGAATATTAAATACAAATACTAAATATATACTAAATATTTATTGCAAATGAAGCATAAGTGAGGACATATGCAAAACATAATTTTGGAAAAACATGGAGGATAAAATGACGTAACATAGATACAACTACACATATGTGTAAATATTAACTATTACAGGCGTGCTGGATGTGGGATTTGTTAGAACAACATTAAAATATTCTAAGAGTAATGCTTCTTAATTGGCAGCATTAACTTGCTTTTTGCTTCATTCTCCAAGAAAAGAAGCACATCTTTTTCTCCTTTCAGTGGCACCATGTCACTATTAGTTCTGATTTTTAAGACATTCTAATAACTACAATTATAGTGAATAATTTAATCTGTTATGATGAGTCACACATTAAAATTTTAACAAAATCGAAGATGTACGACAGACATAACCAACCTTATCAAGAAAAACTAGATATACCAATAAGATGAGATTTCTGAAATAGTCTATATTCCAGTCATGAATAGACTATATTCCAGGCCTAGAATATAATTACTGATAAGAATAGCTCTTAAATTTTGTATATGGTGCAATTTGTTGCCGTAGATAAAAACTTTTTTTAAACATGTTGCTTGGACTTGTGAACCAACACTCAAGATTACCATTAATATCATCATTAGGTTACTAGTGCAATTGTACCAATGATTTGAAAGTAAGAAACTGCCATTCAATCATATTCATATAGGTATGGTTCTAAAATATTGTGATAATATATAGTTTGGTTATAATATACAGTGATAATATATAGTTATGGTTATAATATATTGTGATAATATATGGTTACGGTTATAATATATTGTGATAATATATAATTATTTCTGTAGTATATTGTGATAATATATAGTTACGGCATAATATATTGTGATAATTCAAGGATGTTCTATTTAGACACACTAAAAATATAGAAATAATGTTGAGTTAACGTGGAAAAGATGAAGTGAGAGGTTATAGATGGCTAGATTTTTTCGTTGCAATTTGTGAGAAAGTTATTCAAGTCTTTCTATTTGAATATTTAGTCAAGACTTATTCATATGTCTAAGCCTCTAAGGTGAAAAGAAAGTCTGTGTATTAAAACAGAAGAGTTTGAAACTGTACAAAGAATTGGTATAATTGAATAGGCAAGAAAACAAGTAGGTATAAACATATTATAATAACTCATTAAAAAATGCCCTGTTGTCAAGTACACATTTCAGATCTTTTCAAGTCAACAGACGGACGATATTATTGCTATTGCTAAAAAAGTCAAGAGTGCTGCGTGTTTGTCCAACGGACAGAATTTCTTCAAATGCAATAAGTGAACCATAGAGTAAAATGATAAACTCGAGTGAGTGTAGTTAAGTCAAAGACGCATCACTTGGGCATAGAAATTATACGTTTCAAGCCAAGGTGCACAAGACACGATGAGACCAACATTTTTTATCAAGAATTATTTTAGGATAATGCTGCGAAAGTAGCTGAAGGTGGTGCTGTGGATGTGGCAGCTGCCACGGCTGCGATGAAAAAGAGGCAATATACAATCATTATAAATGTTATATTCAGACGTTCATGACATTAAGGGACTAATCAAATGTGCCTTCATCAGCCCACGAACAAACTATGAGGTGGAATCTTCGCCAAAATAGAAGCAGGAGGCTGCAAAATACGATTCACGAAGAATCAATGAAAACGCACAAAGACTTCATGAACAATTAACACTTAGGAGAAGCTGATGTACTCAGGAGTGACCGACTTGTTGAAAGTATTTGTCTGTCATTCAATTTGATAGTTCTCCGTGAAAGTGTTGTGAAGGTATTTGTGAAATACTTTCTCAATACTATATGAGCAATATATTTGTCTTTCATCAATAATTATGCAGCAATGCTGGAATGATGTAAATCCACAGTCGCTCAGTGGAAGCGACACCGGATGGTAATCCAATATGTAGTCATAGCAGGTGCTGCCTGGGTATATGTTACCATCTTGAGGTGGCGAATGAGAGATTAGGTACGGAAGAGATAGTGACTGTGTCTGTCAGAGTGTTATTGACTTGGTGTTATTGATGATGTAAAGAGATATTTGGAGAGAATGTTGAGGCTGAAAGAGATAGGAGGAGGATGGCAAGACTAGACTCGATGATTGATTGAGGAAAACTATGAAAATCAATCAAGAAACGAACATTAAGTCCAGCAATGATCCATAATTTAGTTTATTTTTTGGATGAAAATTCATTTCTGAATATGAATATATTCTAGTTACTTTGAATGTGGAGTATAAGAGTCTTAAAATTCCAACCTTATTTTAGGACCCATATTTTTACAGGGTAGGAGGAATTTACAGGTTATTAACATTCATTTTCCATCCAACATAAACAAGAATGAATGAAGTTTAGATTTTGCGTACTTGAATCTGTGTGTGTGCAAAGAAGAGCTCGATTTAAATATAAATATCCTAAAAGTGACCGACGAGTAAAAGGGTAATTAAGGGTTTCTCAACCCCTGTATTAGATGGACGTCTGGCAGGAACATTTCGCAGGCTTAGTCGTAACACATTTTTTGGTGTCCATCTGAAAGAAGGTGCCAGTTGAGCATGAAGCTGTGTACGGTGGGCCGGTGCCCAAAATGCACAGCAGGTACTTATTGCAGTCGGTCGGATGGTAGAAGTAAGTCCCTGGAGCCGTAGTGCAGTCGATATCCGCAGCAGTCAGACACCGTCCTTTTTGTGAAGAAAAAGAATTAAACCCTGAATATTTTAAGACATATTATCACTAGATATTATTTTAATTGAGAGTAATACGAATATTATAGAGCATTGGAATGTCTCACTGCAAATATTAATTTCGTTTAATATGGGATAAGAAATGATAATAGATTACATGCGGGAGAAAGAAATTTCAGATTTTTAAATAAAAATGGAATCGAAACACTATATACAGATACACGTTTTACATCATTAAAAAGGCAGATACACGCTTCTCATGATCATTTAAAGATACACGTTTTATATCATTATTATTGAAGATGAACTTATAAGGGAGTAATTTCAAATTTATGCGGACAATGAATTGGCCGACTTCGATTAGGCAAATAACGAGCCTTGTTTCTGACAAATAATGAGAAATATTCGTCAAGTGGGACTTGTGCGTGTTTAATGAATAAAAAATTAAAGCGATTAGATTCTGCGAAATGCACTATGCACTATCAAATGTTTCGCAAAAAATATGCATTTTAGAATAAATAACTGCGCGCTTGAGCGTTGTAAAGCACCAAAAGCCGTCCGGAATTCATTTTTAAATGAATACTGCTATTGGGATTTAATTTTTTCTGGTAAATATTGCTCACCTTGAGTTGTTGCGGCAGTGGTAAGTTCCTGCACATGAGCAAGGTTGAGTTCTAGTACAGGTTAAAATAATATGCGTTTAAAAATTACTGTTTAAAGACAACATTTATGAAGAATCAAGTGTCTCCGATGTTACACATGTACAATGAATTTCCAATTTTATTATCAAATGCTGCAAAAATTAATTTTTAAATTTCATTTTTAAAATTAAAGAAAATTAAATGTTGCAAAATCATTTATTCTGTCAATTGTTTCATGCATTGCCTCCGACTTCACGCAAGTGTGGAAAATTTCAGATCGATAGGACAGGTAGAAGTGTGTTGAATATCGATTATCAGATTTGTAGAAGACAAAATTATTTTTTAAAACATTTTGAATAAAATTTGTTTTTAATTTGTGAAATTATATATTCTATCAATTGATTCATACATTGACTACAACTTTACGCAAGTGTGGAAAATTTCGGATCGATTGGACAGGTAGAATTGTGTTAAATATCGATTGTAAAATTTGTAACAGACAGACAAACACACAAAAAGAAGTGAGGAGAGAAGTGTTGTAATGAAATGAGTTAAAAATAGCACGATATATGGCTATGTTAAGAGCTGTATTAATTGCTAACCTATGTAATTCTTTTTGCACTCAATTCCGTACTGCTATTTGGGCAACAATTGGATATTTATCCAACTCTTATTGGAAGTCTTCATTTTATGATTTTATTTTGATTTAAACATTAAAAGTAGATTCAACGTTGCACTTTGGCGAAGAAGTGTAACATTGCTCATTTAAAGTAATAGGTTGATGAAGGATATTGATTGTTCACAGGCCACCAGATAGCGTTTTCTCTATGCAGAGCTAACAGAGCGGTCGTTAGTGGCTGCGAAGCTCGCAAATTTGAGGTTTCTTTGAATTAAATTAAGATAGAAAATAAAAGGAACTAGATCTAATTTTAAGGTGTTTTATTGACTAGCTAATGGCAATGGCAGTTAAGTTAAACATCACAAGTTATGAATGAAGAAAAAATAATAATACAAGTGGCAACGTAAGTACTTGCTGCTGTGAGGATCGGTCGTTGTTGTTGTTGCGGTGCCACTAGGAAAGAGTGGAAAAGAACAAGAGGTGGCACAGAGTGGCCAGAAAGAGGAAGGAGAAAT